TAATAATTTTTTATTTCTACTGTTTATTAACTTTTTCCTTTTTTTAATATTTTATAATATTATTAAAATCTTATAATTTTAATCTCTATAATTTTATCTTACTTTTTATTTTATAAGTATAATTTAAATTATTCATTTTATAATTAAATTAATTATTTTAAATCTTTTATAAATTTACATATAAAAATGTATTAAAATTTCTCGATCTTTAAGGATACACAACAACTTCCAACCTTTGCTGGTTTTCTATTTTCGGTTTTAAAGGAGAAAACAGAGCCACCAGACAAGCCCTCACTGATCTACGTACGGTGAAAGTGGAAACCCATGAGCACCTCCAGCGCTGTGTCTTAAAAATAAGCAACCGAGCATTTGCTATTGAAGTGATCCTACGTGGTAAGAAAAGTTTTAATTTTTTTAGAATAAAGAGATTTGATTCCCCTGAACAAATACGTGGATGTCAGTCATTTAAATTAAAGGGAGGAAAAAATCCTAATCGATCAGAAAAACCACTTTTAATTTCACGTGAAGATTTCAAATTCATCTCCAAAGAATATTTGGATGTTAATTAAAAAGGGCAAGACTGAGAGAGAAAGTCACAATTCTGCAAGTTACATTTATTTATGAATTAGGTAATCACATAAATAATTTACTTAAATTATTTAACAATTTACTTAATATCTTATTTAATAAGGATGTTAATAAATTTTTAATTATGATGTAAGTGTTTAATATTTAATAAATTGTTTTATTTTAAAATTAAAATATATTTTTATTTTTATATTTTTATTTATTTTACCTTTTAATTTTTAGTTTAAAATAAACCATTTTAATTTTTATACTTATATTTTTTTTAATTAATCTTTATACTTGCAATTTTGTAGTTCTTTTAATATTTATCATTATTTTTTCTTGTAATGTCGTATGTATTGTGTTGATGTGACCGTACTAATTCATCTTTGCATGTCTAATGTTGAATTTATTTTGATAGAGTTATACTAAATTAGATTTGTGTCTCTTTTATACATTCACGTACGTTGTTTGTTTCTTGTAACATTGTATTTTTTTTTATAAACTAAAATTAGGTGAATGGTAACTAGTATTTTTTTTTCATTTTTATTATTATTGTGATGTATAACATCATTTTTAAAAATTATTTAGTTACTTTTTATATTTTTATTTTACCTTCAATCATAATTTAAATTGTAATTTTTTAATTTTAAAATGAGATAATATTGTATAATTAAATACTTAAATAATGATACATCAGAACACTTCAAGATTATATAAGTACTTTTATATATATATATATATATATATATATATATATTCAAATGCAACAACCTATTAAATTTTAAGCGCTTGTATCATAAGTATTTATTGTATAAAAGCTTATTATATGAAATCTTAAATAAATTGCTTGTCCAAATTAATCATAAGCTCAAAACATCTTACAGGTTACAATAAAATATTTTATATAAATTTATTCAAATACTCTTATAAATACTTACGAAATAAAATAAGTATAAATAGGTTGTTTATAAGTTTTTCTAAATGGATTCTTGGTTTTTCAAAGACATTTGGTAAAAACTTATGTAATTATTTTATTTATAAGTCCATTAAATAGCACAGTACAATTAATTGTGTTGGTTCAAATAAAATGTATCTTTTCAGGGTTCGTGAGGATAAAGACGAATTGGGAGGTTCTTTGCAGGTATGGGCAAGGGATCAACGATGATCTTCTCATCTGGAATCAGTTTTTGCCACTTGAACCTCTTCACTAGGTTGTGCATGAAAACCAATATTTCCAATCTAGCATACTCTTTTCCTGGGCACATCCTTGGTCCCCCACCAAATGGTACGAAAGTATAAGGTGCAGGTCCATTTCCTTCAAATCTACTTGGATCGAATTTCTCTGGCTCTGGAAAGTATTCTGGATTTTTATGTGTAGAATTTGCACTCCAATACAACTGCAAAAGTTTCAAAATAACTAAATTAAGTGACCAATGAACAACTATACAATAACAAAAAGTTTCGTTATAGAAACCAAGCACATGACGTAAGTTTCAAGCCCTAGTTAACAAGAACAAAAGAAAATGAAAAGAGCGTAAACATGTGTATGGCTTAGTAAAATTTAAGGGAATCCTATTATACAATTTTTTCTTACCTTCCATCCCTTTGGAATTGAGAACCCATTGAAAATAAAGTCATTGATGGCTTCCCTGAAACCTCCTTGAAGCGGAGGAGCAATTCTCATTACTTCACAAGCTACGTTCCAAGAATATTTCATCTTGTTGATATCATCCCAGTTCAATAACTCTCCTGGCGATTTCGATTTTGCAATTTCCATTTGCTCTAAACAAATTACACAAAAAGGAACACAAATAATTAAGTATATATATTAGGAAAAGAATCACAGCATATCTATATATATTAAAATGTTTATTTGATGAATATTTATTTCATTTTATGAAAAAAATACTGTCTCTTTTAATTTTAACACAATAATTTTCAAGACTGTATTTTTATATAGGGAATTCTTAAGTTTTGTTTTAAATTTAGTTTTAATTTTCAATTATACTTTTGGGCTTTTGTTATTTAGTTTTTTACGACTTGTTCATTTCAGGATGAAGTGTTCTAAAAGAAAGGTTTCTTGTGGAATTGTATATACATATACGAAAAAAGTTTATACTACACATTCAACAAAAGAATATAATTATATTAATAAAATAAAAATCAAGCTTGACTACTTGAATGAAGTGGTTCAAGTGGGATTCTTCTAAATTTTGATAAAAATAGCACGAAATCAGAGCAACAAATAACCACATAAATGATGAGGTCAGCCTTGATAATTTCTTTTGGAGGCTAGTTCGTAATTCAAATATCAACCGAATAATTTGAAATTCGGCGAGAGTTTGACGTAAGTTAAGAGGGTTGAAATCAAGAAGATTTTGACTTGTAGACTTGATAGTTGACTTTAAATGTTCATGAGATAGATAATTGTTGGTATGAATGACTTTCAATAAATATTATTATTAGATTTTATGTATAAATGCAAAACATATTTAATTTTTATTTGATTATTTAAAAATAGTTTTTAAAATTTAAATTACGAGAGAAAGAACAAATAAGTGAAAACAGGACTGGAAGTTATAAGAAATGATAATGTCATTTTATTAAAGTTTATGGAATTTAATATCATATTCTCAAGCTCACGTTTCAGACGTTATCAATTACTTTTATTTAACTATGAAATGTACTTTGCACCAAACTAAAATATTAAATAATGTTAAATTAGTGACATGGAATCAAGTGTTAAGTTAAATATGTTCCGTAAATATTAGTTTGGAACACAAGTAAGTGATATTTGAAGAATAATTATTCTATTCAATAATTCATATTCTATATCAAATTTTAACAATCAAATTATTAAATTTAAAGTTTTTAATAAAGATTAAATTTATAAAATTTTAAAAAAATTATAAATTTGATCTAATCATTAATAACTATAAATTCAAGGATTTAATTCTTGAAAATTAATGTAAAATATGAGTTATTGAATAGAGTAAGTTTAAATAAATTTACTCATGAAATAAATACATCCTTCCTTAATTAGAGAAATTCTACGGTACTCACTATAATTGTGGGGTACTGGAATAGTCATTTTTTTATTTATAATTACTTGTTTTATTTTTATTTTAATTTAATATTTTTAATAATTTATCTGTATCTTTATATTATTTATATATTTTTTAATTTATATCTTAATATAGCATCTATTATAATTAAAAAGTTTAATATTAATATTTTGTTAATATGTTTTAGTTTTTCTTTGGTGATAACTTTTTTGAATTTATAGTATAAATTAGTTTTTCAGTTATATTATTTATTTTTTTTATTTTAATATTTTTATAATATTATTATAATTTTTTGTTTTTAATTTTTTAATTTGGTCAAATATAAATAAAATTTGTTATGAAAATTGACCTTTTAGTTATTTTGTTTAAAATTAATCTTTTTAATTGATTTATTTTATATAAATTTTTAATCTAAAATTTATGTTATTTTAAATTTATTTTTTAAAATTTATTTGTTCACATAATGTGAAGTACCAAAATCTTTCAATTTTCATGAGTCCCTAGCAGTTTCTCCTTAATTATATATATATATATATTGATGGTAAGTTAAGATGGAATTAATGAAGTTGATAATAGAGTATTCACCTTGATAGACTCTATGATAAATGTGAGGGAGTTCAGCGAGGTATTTAACAATGAAAGTACATGCAGCACTGGCAGTGTCGTGTCCTCCAATCAAAAGGCCAAGAATCTTGTCAGCAATATCCAATTGGTTCATAAACTGTCCAGTTTGGTCGCATGTTAGGAGCATGTGAGACAAAATGTCTTGGGTTGCCGATGCTTTTCCTTCTCCTAAATCCACCTTCCTCTGCCTAATGATTTCCAACAGCTCCTTTCTGATCCCCTTGGCTGCCTTTATTGCTTTGTTGAACGGCGTTCCCGGAAGATCAACGGGCACTGATATGATCCCACTCGCCAACAGATGAAAAGGCTTCTCTAGTTTCGCCACGTCATTCACATCCTCCACGCTCATGAACAAACGGCAAGCCAACATGAAGGTGTACCTGTTAGTGTGTGTTAAGTGACCATATCAGATCAATTAGTAACAAAATAATAAGATATGATGAAATTAATATCAGATCAATTAATATTATTCACCTCTTGGCCAAGGGATAGACGGTGAGTTCCGTCTGGTTTTCCCAAAGCTGGGCGAAGTGGGTCTGAGCAACGGCGTCCATGACGGGGACGTAGCGTCGGAGAGCTTCAGGCTTAAGAAACTGCGGCAGCAGCTTTCTCATCTTTCTGGATTCTTCTTTGGAGTCCGTCTGAAGCGTGGTGGGGAAGATTTTGTTGACGCTACTGGGCCACCAGGCGCTCACAAGCTTGTTCTCGTTGGAGAACAGGAACTTGTTGCAGGCCGCGCCGCAGAAGATCACAGCCGGTTCCCCTAGAATGGAGGTCTTGAAGAGGTGCGAGGAGAACCTGAGCATGCGGTCGAATATGAACTTCTCCGGATGACCCCTCCATCCGGTGGCAAGGAACTCGAGGCTCTCCCCGATGACGGGGTAACCGGTTGTTCCCGGTGGGAGGTTGGGGAGCGCGAATGGGGACCTGTGCTTGTAGAAGAGGATGGAGAGGGAGAGGGTGACCAAGGAAACAAAGAGGAGCAGTAGGGATAGGTAGAGATATTGGTCCATGCTTTTCGTGTCACGTAGAGTGTGTGACTTCGTTAATTGCTATTTGCGTGAGAGAAAGAGAGAGAGAGAGAGAGAGAGGAAAAGGATATTCTTATAGGTTAGTGTGTTGTGGTAGTGGCAATTCGTTTGGTGTGTGCCAATTTATAGGCACCATCTTAGGAGGGTACGCTACTTCGTGTCACCTATAATTTTATATTAACTACACCCTGCGTCATATAGTCAAACAGTGAACATCATGCTCCTTTCCTTAATTTTTAAAAAATAACATCATGCTCCTCTCTTTTCTCTTCTTTGCAAAATACAAAATATGTGCATCAAATTATTATTATTATTTCCTCTCTGTATCACGGAAAAAATAACCACTTCATGCCTTTTTTTAAAAAAATAAAATAATAATGGAGATGTTAAAAATTATATAATAATGAGTCTACATGATTTATGAAGTGGAACTTTACGGGAAAGTAAAACAAAAAATGAGTGGTTTAAAAGTAGTTATAGATTAAAGCTGCTGGACACAAAAATGTGTACCCAAAAACAAAAGTATAAATATAAATTAATAAAAAAGAAGCACTTCATGCGTGTGTATATATTTTCTTTTATATGTTTAATTATTTTAAGATTTAAAATAGAATAATTTAAGATGCTTCATGTCTCTGCACATTTTATTTAAATAAAAAAAAGTTAAGACAATAGAAGTGATCCTCGCAGTTCTAATAAAAATGAAAAAATAGTTTAATCAAAAGTACACTATATAAAAAAGATGGTTCATATTTCTTTTATATATAAAATAGATAGATATAGTATAATTTATATTGTTGTTGCTAAATATATAAAAAAAGAAAGCCATAAGAATCAGATCCTATATATGAACAACCCAAGAAACACAAAAAGAAAAACGCAAAATACCCGACGAAAACATAAAATACAAAAGTGTAATAATGTAGAAAACGTAACAACAAAGCAAAATCAAATTTTAAGTAAATATAACTATTTATGTTATTCACATATCGTATACGAGAGATATATATCAATTTTCACAGTATTTATGACAAATCAAAGTCTAGACATTACATTATCATTTTTTTTTGCATCATTATTGTTGTCCCTTACAATTATTATTATTATTATTATTATTATTATTATTATTATTGTTGTTGTTGTTGTTGTTGTTGTTGTTGCTGTTCTAAATTTTTTCTAATTTCTTCTATCTTTTTATCAATTCTGCTTTCTAGATTTATAGTTTCTATTTGAGTATTGAGCTAGTAAATAGGTTTAACTAATGGTTTAATGAGAGCTGTGGATGTACTACTACTAGCATGTTCTTGATTTTCTATTCTAATTAACTGTTTTGACATAATTTCTAACATAATATTAGAATAATTAATCTGAAAATGTAATTTTTTAATATCTTTTTTATTGACTTCCTTTTCAGTTTCATTAATAATTTTATAAGGACTAGCTTCTACTTCTGAATTATCTATTGTAAATTTTATTCCTAATGTAGGAGGATATTTTGATTTTATTGTTTTATTATCAATAGTTGTCCAATTTGTAGAAGTATTTGAAAGAGGATTTATAAGTTTTTCAAAAGGATAATCTATTTTATTGTCTTTACAAAAATTTTCAAACCAATCAAAAAAGTAAATATTTATCTCTTGTTCTTCCATAAAATTATAATATAAGGTTCTAAAATCTATTGTTTTTTTTGTTGTAAAAGTTGAAAAATACCAATTTCTTTTTTCTTTATTGTAATCTGCCTTAAAATCTTCATTAATCCATATTTTATCAATTTTAAAAGGTTCTTCTCTAGTAATAGTGTTTAATACATGTGATGGAGTAGGATTATAATCTTCAGATATTCTTCTATATCGTGATGATAAACGGGTTTTGATATTTTTGAATTGATATCTAATTTGGTAAGATCTATATTAATGGGTTGAACCATCTACCGAATATCTTGCACTACTACCTTTATAAATCATTTGAGGTTCTCGTATTTTTAATGATTTTGATCTATTCATTCTTAATTTAATATTGGTTCCTTCTTGAATAATATCTCTAACCTGAGTGTTATATATTTTAGGTTCTTCTATTATATCTTCTAAATACTAATCTTCAGGGATTTTGCTAATAACTTCTTCATGACTAAGACGTCTTGGAACTTGTATAGAGGATTTTTTAAGATTGGCTTTGACTAAAATAGTCTCATTTTTAGGCGAAGACCTTAAAGCTTTATAATTATAATCAATCTTAGTTACCTTGTAATAAATTCTAAAAATTATTTGTATTGGTCCTGACTCTTCATCTAATATCTCATCTGAAACTTCTACATATAATTTTAAAGCATTACAAGTTTTTTCATTTCTAATATTCATTGAAAAGTTTGGATAACAATTAAAAAAGGTCGGACCATCATGTAAGTTGCTTTCTAATATTGCTATTATTGAATCAGAAAATTGTTTCATTCTAAGATCTCTTAATAACAATAATATTGGACTATTAAATCCTAATCTATAATTAGGTTTTGCTGCTACTTGAATTAATCCCATGTGTATAAAATTATACCCATTTCTAATGTGCTCATTTAAAACTGTTTGCTCTAATAAATTAATTATCTTGTTAGTCTTTGTTCCTGGATAACTATATTCTAAAATATGAACTTCATCTTGATTAGTAGACCATATACTATGTTGTTTATAAACTTCACATTTTTTAACTAAAGGTATTGACCAATTATGAAGAGAGTTTTCTATTTCTGCTATTTTAAGCTCTTGTTCTATCATGTCTTGTGAGGTTGATGAAGATGCATCTTGTTGACTAGGATTTCTAATAACTATTTGCTTATTTTTAGTCCTTAATCCTAAATTACTAATAGAATCAAAGAAGGTTAAAAATGACAAAATTATAAGAAATCTATTGAGTAAAGTAGGATCTGGAATAAGATGATAATATCAAAACTCAAGGCTCTGATACCATATATACTGATAGAAATTAATCGAAAGATGGGGATAAGGATATTCATTATAAGTAATATGAATATGTCCATGTTCTAGAAATATTATCGTTTTGACGACAATATGAAGACAATATAAATTGATTCAAGTAAAGGTGGCAGGGCCTCCTAGTTATGATCGATTGTTATAGAAAATCTTTCCCTCAATAAGTTAAAAACCTATCCCAAACTTAAAACTTATTATCCAAGACCTTCTCCTGCTGATGTTCTTTATGAAGAACAAGGAGATTTAGTTTAAAATAATTATTCAGGTAGTGATATATGTGAATGGAATATAGATGGTATGAGTGAGCAAGGAATATTAGATTTTATTTGTCAAATGACAATGGCAGCTAGTGCCTACAAAAGAAGAGGAAGTTCAGATAGAGCCACTGCCATGACTCGTCCAAGGACTTACAAGACAATTAAAAGGATGGTGGGATAATTTTTGCACTCCCTCTGATAGAGAAACAATATTAGGAGCCACAGAAAATGAAAATAAGGAAGATGTTGTAGCAACTCTTATTTATATTATTATTCAACATTTGTAGGAGATCCAAATATATTTAAAGATAGAGTTGCTAGCCAATTAGCAAATCTATATTGTCCAACAATGTCTGATTATTATTATTATCATTATTATTATTATTATTATTATTATTATTATCATTATTATTATTTATTATTATCATTATTATTATCATTATTATTATCATTATTATTATCATTATTATTATTATCATTATTATCATTATTATTATCATTATTATTATCATTAACAATATTTAATAACAAAAAATTATAATAAATTTAATATTATTTTATTTATATTTTTAATTATTTATTAAATAATATATAAAGTAAAAAAATCTCATAATTAAATATTTATCATGAAATTTTTTTAATCGTATTTTAGTAAGTATAAAGATATTTAAAATGTGCAATTAGGTGATGAAATTCAACTCGGACATAAAATTATTAATAGAAAAATTTCTCCTTATATCATAATTAAGATTATGCACACGTCCAAAGATCTTAAATGGAAAATACACATATTTTATTTCTTGATATAAAGAACAAAACAAAAATATAATACAAAATTTGAATTATATAATTCTTCTAATTAAATAAAGAAAAAGAATTATAAAAAATATTAAAATAAATAAAAGTCTATAAATCTAAATAATATCTTAAATTATAAATTCATAAAATAACTTCTTAAATTTTTACTCATTCAATTTATTTAAAATTTGAATTATTTATCTAATAAGTAAAAAGTGTAATTGATCCAAATTAATAAAAATAGAAGTGACCTGAATATTATTATATTAACTACGGTGCGTGGAGTCAAACAATAAATGAAGCTCATGCTCATCTCTTTTCTCTTTGATTACGCTTCTGGCAATTATTGTTTGTGTTAAGTGAGTGATTATTTGTTAGCCCTAATAAATAGGTCTGCGTTTGGCAAAATCCAATTTCATAAGGTCATTGCTGCTGCTGCTGCTTCAGGAGCGAGTGTCCACGGGGTTACTATATCTTACAATTTACAAACTATTCACCAGAATCAAGACTCTAATTGAGGAAAAGAAGAAAGTATTTCACAATCTTACATTACATGTTTTCTGATTAATCTTTACATTAGTAACATGCATATATAGTTAATATATATTAATAAATTTGAGCAACTCTAATAGGAATTGCTTGTCTCATGAAACAACTTAAGCCCCGATTTTTTATTATTGGAGGACTCTGACGTGGCAACATGAGTTGCTTGAAGAAGAGAGTTACTTCCTCAAGCAACCGTTCCTTACCAGATTTCAAGAAGATCTTATTGAACATATTTGAGAATGTTTCAAAAATAATAATGATGAAAATTAATTTCGTATAACGTCTATGTATTTACTATTACTTTATTTTATTTTTTAATATTTACTTATTGTGTATTTTTTCTCGTAATTTATTTTCTTTCAATTTAGTGCAATTATCCTTTTTAATAAAAATTTAAAATTGGTTCATAAGTGATTAAAATTTTTTTTCTAAAAGTTGAATTTCTTAAAGTTTCTTACCATTAGAGTAAATTTGTGTTTGAGTTGCTTAATACTGACATGACACAGTAGGGACCACTTTTTTCATTTTTCAATGCATGAAACAACTCAAATGAGTTGCTTCCATTGGAGATGCCCTTAGATGTATGTAACGTAAAAATTGGTTAAAAAAATGGCTTAAATATGTTTTTAGTCCCTCAAATTTAGGGTAATTCTGTTTTTGGTCCCTCAAATTTAAAATTGTTGTTTTTAGTCTTTATAATTTCAAAAAATCCTATTTTAGTCCCTATATTTAAATTTTGTTAAGAAATTTATCAAATATTATTGTATAAAATTTACCTATTAGTATCCTTATTAGTGAAAATATCATATTAAATCCGGTTGATATTGCATAACTGTCTTAATCAGTCACTTTCAAATATGTTATTAGTGATCTAATAAGGGACTAAAACAAGACTTTTAAAAATTACAGGAACTAAAAACAACAATTTTAAATTTGAGAGACCAAAAACAAATTTATCTTAAATTTAAGGAACTAAAAACATATTTAAGAAGAAAAAAAATATATACATACTGTTCTTACCAGAAATCTGCTGTAGAGATGATCCTCCGAGTAAGATTGGTGAGCTTCCTTCGCTGGTACGCTTGATGCTCCAAGATGGGGGTGGTACCTGCAAAAGAGACTCTGATGCTAAAGTTAGTGTTTGTGGGAGTATGAGTCTCGTATAAATAATGCACGTACCTTTGTTTTAATATTTAATAAATTGTTTTATTTTAAAATTAAAATATATTTTTATTTTTATATTTTTATTTATTTTACCTTTTAATTTTTAGTTTAAAATAAACCATTTTAATTTTTATACTTATATTTTTTTTAATTAATCTTTATACTTGCAATTTTGTAGTTCTTTTAATATTTATCATTATTTTTTCTTGTAATGTCGTATGTATTGTGTTGATGTGACCGTACTAATTCATCTTTGCATGTCTAATGTTGAATTTATTTTGATAGAGTTATACTAAATTAGATTTGTGTCTCTTTTATACATTCACGTACGTTGTTTGTTTCTTGTAACATTGTATTTTTTTTTATAAACTAAAATTAGGTGAATGGTAACTAGTATTTTTTTTTCATTTTTATTATTATTGTGATGTATAACATCATTTTTAAAAATTATTTAGTTACTTTTTATATTTTTATTTTACCTTCAATCATAATTTAAATTGTAATTTTTTAATTTTAAAATGAGATAATATTGTATAATTAAATACTTAAATAATGATACATCAGAACACTTCAAGATTATATAAGTACTTTTATATATATATATATATATATATATATATATATTCAAATGCAACAACCTATTAAATTTTAAGCGCTTGTATCATAAGTATTTATTGTATAAAAGCTTATTATATGAAATCTTAAATAAATTGCTTGTCCAAATTAATCATAAGCTCAAAACATCTTACAGGTTACAATAAAATATTTTATATAAATTTATTCAAATACTCTTATAAATACTTACGAAATAAAATAAGTATAAATAGGTTGTTTATAAGTTTTTCTAAATGGATTCTTGGTTTTTCAAAGACATTTGGTAAAAACTTATGTAATTATTTTATTTATAAGTCCATTAAATAGCACAGTACAATTAATTGTGTTGGTTCAAATAAAATGTATCTTTTCAGGGTTCGTGAGGATAAAGACGAATTGGGAGGTTCTTTGCAGGTATGGGCAAGGGATCAACGATGATCTTCTCATCTGGAATCAGTTTTTGCCACTTGAACCTCTTCACTAGGTTGTGCATGAAAACCAATATTTCCAATCTAGCATACTCTTTTCCTGGGCACATCCTTGGTCCCCCACCAAATGGTACGAAAGTATAAGGTGCAGGTCCATTTCCTTCAAATCTACTTGGATCGAATTTCTCTGGCTCTGGAAAGTATTCTGGATTTTTATGTGTAGAATTTGCACTCCAATACAACTGCAAAAGTTTCAAAATAACTAAATTAAGTGACCAATGAACAACTATACAATAACAAAAAGTTTCGTTATAGAAACCAAGCACATGACGTAAGTTTCAAGCCCTAGTTAACAAGAACAAAAGAAAATGAAAAGAGCGTAAACATGTGTATGGCTTAGTAAAATTTAAGGGAATCCTATTATACAATTTTTTCTTACCTTCCATCCCTTTGGAATTGAGAACCCATTGAAAATAAAGTCATTGATGGCTTCCCTGAAACCTCCTTGAAGCGGAGGAGCAATTCTCATTACTTCACAAGCTACGTTCCAAGAATATTTCATCTTGTTGATATCATCCCAGTTCAATAACTCTCCTGGCGATTTCGATTTTGCAATTTCCATTTGCTCTAAACAAATTACACAAAAAGGAACACAAATAATTAAGTATATATATTAGGAAAAGAATCACAGCATATCTATATATATTAAAATGTTTATTTGATGAATATTTATTTCATTTTATGAAAAAAATACTGTCTCTTTTAATTTTAACACAATAATTTTCAAGACTGTATTTTTATATAGGGAATTCTTAAGTTTTGTTTTAAATTTAGTTTTAATTTTCAATTATACTTTTGGGCTTTTGTTATTTAGTTTTTTACGACTTGTTCATTTCAGGATGAAGTGTTCTAAAAGAAAGGTTTCTTGTGGAATTGTATATACATATACGAAAAAAGTTTATACTACACATTCAACAAAAGAATATAATTATATTAATAAAATAAAAATCAAGCTTGACTACTTGAATGAAGTGGTTCAAGTGGGATTCTTCTAAATTTTGATAAAAATAGCACGAAATCAGAGCAACAAATAACCACATAAATGATGAGGTCAGCCTTGATAATTTCTTTTGGAGGCTAGTTCGTAATTCAAATATCAACCGAATAATTTGAAATTCGGCGAGAGTTTGACGTAAGTTAAGAGGGTTGAAATCAAGAAGATTTTGACTTGTAGACTTGATAGTTGACTTTAAATGTTCATGAGATAGATAATTGTTGGTATGAATGACTTTCAATAAATATTATTATTAGATTTTATGTATAAATGCAAAACATATTTAATTTTTATTTGATTATTTAAAAATAGTTTTTAAAATTTAAATTACGAGAGAAAGAACAAATAAGTGAAAACAGGACTGGAAGTTATAAGAAATGATAATGTCATTTTATTAAAGTTTATGGAATTTAATATCATATTCTCAAGCTCACGTTTCAGACGTTATCAATTACTTTTATTTAACTATGAAATGTACTTTGCACCAAACTAAAATATTAAATAATGTTAAATTAGTGACATGGAATCAAGTGTTAAGTTAAATATGTTCCGTAAATATTAGTTTGGAACACAAGTAAGTGATATTTGAAGAATAATTATTCTATTCAATAATTCATATTCTATATCAAATTTTAACAATCAAATTATTAAATTTAAAGTTTTTAATAAAGATTAAATTTATAAAATTTTAAAAAAATTATAAATTTGATCTAATCATTAATAACTATAAATTCAAGGATTTAATTCTTGAAAATTAATGTAAAATATGAGTTATTGAATAGAGTAAGTTTAAATAAATTTACTCATGAAATAAATACATCCTTCCTTAATTAGAGAAATTCTACGGTACTCACTATAATTGTGGGGTACTGGAATAGTCATTTTTTTATTTATAATTACTTGTTTTATTTTTATTTTAATTTAATATTTTTAATAATTTATCTGTATCTTTATATTATTTATATATTTTTTAATTTATATCTTAATATAGCATCTATTATAATTAAAAAGTTTAATATTAATATTTTGTTAATATGTTTTA